GCACACTGGTCTGTAGAAAAGTGATGTAGTCTTTCTCTGCAAAAGTGATTTCACTGACACGAAAGGTTTAATTGCGTTACGGATTGTCTTTTAACTGTATATGGTGTGAGTGAGATCATAAGTAGAGAAGCTGTTTACGTGTCAAGTGATTGTGATTGAGAATGTCGCCATTCCAGGTCAGCTCTGGTTATTGAACCACCGATTGGTGACAAAAAAAGTGGTTTAGGAAGCATAGTACCACTAGCTTGGGAATTAGAAGGTGTGAGTAGTAGCAGATCTTGCCATCAAACTGAGGTATAATTTGTAAATCTAGAAATTCCTTGAAGGATGTGTCACTCGTTAAATCGTTGTCCCGAACTAACGACATTATGCGTTGACGACATTGAGGACAAGTCACCGAACGTGCCTAACTATAGAAAAGAGCGCTTACGTCTTCTGGGCTAAAGTGATCATCTAGCCTCGAAAAGCTAAGTTGCTTTATAAAACTTTGTTGTTGTTGTTGTAGTTAATTTACGTCGCACTAGAGCTGCACAATGGGCTATTGGCGACGTTCTGGGAAACATCCCTGAGGATGATCTGAAGACGTGCAATCACAATTTTGATCCTCTGCAGAGGGGATGGCACCCCCGCTTCGGTAGCCCGACGACCTGCACGTGAAGTCGAGCACTTTACGGTAGAACAGTTTAACGAGGACCAATACCGCACACCCTCGGTCCCTAGGCAGACTGATCCAAGTTGTCACCCACCCGCACACTGACCGCAGCCGGTGATGCTTGACTTCGGTGATCTGCTGGGATCAGTCCACTGCGATCAGTCCACTGCGGGACCATAAAACATTGTCTAAAGCAGGGGTTTCCAACTTACATGAGGCCGGGGGCCACAATTAAAAACACAAATCAAATGGCGGGCCTCAACTTTATCAATATTTTATGTAGGACTCTTTTATGTTTGAAGGAACATCAAATATAGATTTTTACCAAGTTGAACGAAACAAAAGTATGGAATTACAAATTAGAATAAGAAGTAGATTCTTAAAAATTTTTAATTGCTGTTAATAATATTTTTTGAAATATTAAGTAAATAATAGAAATTCAGACTACAATAGCTTTAATGTGCAAATATGTATTAAACAAATGATGTGCAACAGATATCTAATTGTTAAGACATAAAACTTTAAAAAGGTTGGTATTAAAACTGACATAGTAGCACACAAAATATTCAATGAGAAAATTGAGGTTTGTCTGCCGCAACCACCAGAGAATAGATTTTTACATTTAAAATTTACAAATGTATGCGCAAATATTTTCGTCCAAAATGAGTGGTTTCAAAAAGTTAAATCGGGGAATTTCTTACAGAAAATTTCTGATACGCACATGCCTGAGAAATAAATTTCTTTGCACCGTTGGTATGTTAAATTTCACAGAAAAGAAGAAATTAGGTTTTTATTAACGAGAAAAGTATTTTAAACCCATATAGACTTTTTACGAAAATTGTCCGCAAAAAAATGACAACTAATATATATTTTAGCTCGCGGGCCACAAAAAAAAGGCTTCACGGGCCAGATGTGGCCCCCGGGCAGCCAGTTGGAAACCCCTGAAAGCGTAAGTGACTTCGTTTTAATATTTATTTCGGGACACAAGTTTGGAGTTAAAGTATAACGAAATTTATTTTTTATTTGCTACATTGCTTATTACATTATTATTGCATTGTGCTACAATATTATTTTGTTATATTAAACTTATCTATGCATTGGCAACATTGTTTTACAATATTTTATATTATTGTTATTATTTATTTTGCTCCTTAAGGAACTTTAAACTTAACTCTTACGATTTAATTGTTTCAGAGTTCAACTGTGTTCTTAAAACTCAGAGTTGTTCAAATACAATATAATCATACGTTTTACAACTGACACTTCCAAACAATGGCACGAAATGGAAAGATTTAAAACAATTATTCCCGGAATTTAACTAAGCAGCTATCTAAGATACAATTGCAACTCTTTATAGTTTCGAATTCAACGACCAGAGCTGTTGAACCATTATTAAAAGAATTAAATTTTATCTTCTGAAATTGTTCTTGTTTTTTTTCTAAAGATGAGTTTTCAACTGAGTCTGTAAATAAAGCGTGCTCGGGGATTCTGCCTTAATTAACAATTACTGAAGCGTCATTAAGAAAACGACGATTTCCCCCCTCAAGTAAAGTTGTTGTAAGATGCCCATTGTTGAAAGTAATTGGGATGAAAGACTTAGAGTTAGTTCTCAACTCCGAGAGAATTGTTTTTTTTTTCGTAACCTAATTAGAATAAAACCGTTTTTCACGCTGTAATGTAAAAGTTCATAAACGATTTCATACTTTAGAAATTTAGTTTGGTTTTATATTTTAAAACACTAGTTCTGAGAACAGTTTGATCCCAAAAGCACTTATTTTCAATGTTTGTTTTTACAAAACTAATTAGATACACTATTTTATTCAGTAGTTGTTCCAGTTATGGTTAAAAATGGAATAAACTGAACAAAATTCTTTATAAAATATTCAAATAATTGCCAGGCATTATCCACAATAATTGTATGGTAATTTACAAAAATTTGCAAACATCATATTTCATTTACTGTTTAGTAATTTAAATATTAAATATATANATATATATATATATATATATATATATATATATATATATATATATATTACCATGTTAACCTGGGTTTTCTGCATAGGTATTTCATTGCGGTATGCTAATTTGTTACTAATACTTTACTTTTATATTTTAATTGTAAAAAGAATAATTTGCCGTATGCTCACTTAACAGCATGTAATATTTTATTTTATACTATAACATTCGTTGAACAGCCGACCAAACTTTATGGGTTTACGACTTCTAATGTAATTTTGAACCCAATCCAGAAGACAAGGAAACTCCTGGATCGAGTATTGGGACAAATTTGCCTTCGTGGAGGGCTTTTTGATGGAGCTAACCAGCATTTGCGTTACATGGAGAGGAAGACCACGAGAACCTCCCACGGTTAGCCTGATGGCAAGGGGGCTCTAACCCATGATCCGTCTACCACTGAGGATATTTCACGTCAGCACTGTGGTCGGTGCAAGCCGGATGCGGAATTCGTATCGGCTGGGATTCGAACCCGGTTCGCCTTAAATAGAAGGCGAACGCTCTATCTCCTGATCCATCGCGGCTCAGCTTGTAATATCCAATTTATTCGAAACTACGACTTAATTTTTCGCATTATTTGAATAATTTGAAAATTAAACTTAGTGGCGCTACAGCCCACAGAAGGCCGAGGCCTACGTTTCCCTTCTCAATTTTCTTGACCTTTGGACTCTGGGGTGCAAGAGCAGATGTTCCGGTTGGGTGGTCAGCTCAAAGTGGAACCCCCAGTGTTTAGTCCCCAAGCATGCTTGATACTCATTTCATCGGCCCACTGAAGGGATGAAAGGCTGAGTCAACGTTGCTCGGCCCGAGGATCGAACCAAGGACCTGTGGCAAGACAGAGCGAAGGGCTACCACTCAGCCACCGGGAGTCTAATTGGAAAATTACTCACCATAAAAATTTTCAAGCAGCATAAAAAAAGACACACACACGATTTAAATAGGTGCTCATGTTCTCGAGTTATTGGAAAATATATAGACAGATTTTCATTTTTACGGTTATAGAGTTGAGGCGAAAAATATTAGAGATTAAAAATGTTACATAAAAATAAGTTTCAGAATATATGCTTATATAACGTAGTATTATTATTATCTATAGCTAAATATTATAAATTGTGTTTATTCCCGATTAACAAACTTCAACTTTTTTAGCTTTTAATATTGTAGTGCAAAGTATCCTCAACAGCCCGTTGTGGGCCAGGGAATCATGTAAATTATGGCTTCATCAACAGCACTATTATTGTAATGAGCTCAAACCGTTTTCACTTCCAAAACAAGCTGTTACCTATTGGTCTGAAGCTTGGTAGGCTTCATGCTGCAACTAGGGATTGAATTCCAGTTCTTTAAAATAACAGCTCATTCCTTTAATCATTGAGCCAGCACGACTTATGAATGTGTTTCATAAATTTATTAATATTTATTTTAAAAAAATGTTATAGCTTTATGTTTTTCTTTACGTTCTCTTCATATACACAAAATAAAAGCAAGATTTGACTGGTTTTTTGTTGTTCTGAAGGTAATACTTCAATTATATGTATATACTGAATAAATTGTGCTCGTACAGTATTGTGAATAAATTCGTTTAAAATATTTAAACTTAAAAGAAAATTTAACTACAGTTTACAAGAAAAATATTTTGTTTAAATAAATGTTTAAAAATATAATTATTAAATATCTGATAATATGAATAAATAAAAAGTATAAAAATATAAATAAATAGATGCATAAGGATATGAAGAATGGAGAAAATGATAAGAAAGATACGAAGAAAAATAAACAGATAAATTATAAATGTGTAAAGTAATAAATGTGTAAAGTAATAAATGTAATTAAAGAAATGTATTAAGTATAAATATATAGATGTAGCACAATTATTGATAAAAATCTAAATATCATGAGTTTATAATGCATTTTCAAAACCGACCCTTACAAGTATAACCTTGCACAAGGGTACTTTTGGCATTAAAAGATTAAAACTGTCCATTGCAAGGCAGGAACATCTTATCTAGAAAACTTTACCTAATAAGATAATGAATATAAAGTAGATTTTTAACACCATTAAGGCAATAAACATTAAAAGAGCATTTTGTGTTTATGAAAATCCCCTGCTTAAAACAGAAGATAAGAATCCGTTATAGCTTTTATTAAATATATATATAAACATGCATGTTCAACACATGAATAGTTAATCAAAAGCGCGTGGCACCATTTACTTAAGACACGAAACAAGAAAAAATATATGAGGCTTGATGTAGCGGCGCTAAATTGGATTTTCCTCGGAGGAGATGAAAAATTCAAATTAGATTTGTTGATTTGTTTTTATTTTATTTTTTAGACGGATAAGAAAGGAGGCGAGAGCGAGATGTTGGAGGCTTTACTAGATCGGGAGGATGATAGGTGCTATGGAAAACAGTGCTCTCATTCAGAAGAATGCTGTAAAGGTGCTGCTTGCATCGATATAGAAGGAGGTAAGGATCTGTGTAATACTGTGCGCAAAATAAAATAAAATTAATTACTTTTGTTCTAATGGTAGGATTTTTTTTATAACCGTCGTTGAACAGACGACGCGAGTTTTGGTTTATGACTACTAATGTTCAACTCCATAGTCTTTTAATTTTGGACCCAATCCAGAAGACAAGGAAACTTCTGGATCACAGAATTGACAGAACTATTGATTGACAGAGACTATTGACAGAAATTTTACCTTCGTGGAGGACTTTTTGATGGAACTTACCAGCATTTGCGTAACATGGAGAGAAAACCACGAAAACGCAGCACGGTTAGTCCGATGGCAAGGGAACTCCATGATTCGTTAACCACTGAGGATATTCTACGTCAGCACTGTGGTCGGTGCGAGCCGGGTGCGAAATCGGAAATGCTTGATTGATACAATGTTAAGTCCATTTGAGCATGACAGTGGTTTTGGCGAGCAATAGTTTTGAGATTTGCAAAATTTCTGCGTATTTCCACTTCTCTAGCTTTTAATTCTTGGAAAATCTTTTCTTGAAAAAATTCTTCTAATTCTTTCTTCTTGATTCGTTCTACATTCTGAAAACAACTGAAAATTAGAGATATGAGCAAAATTAGAAATAATAGAGCAGCAAAATTATGAACTTTTATTGAAAGCAAGGGCGTAAAAGATGTTTTTTGAACCACGAGTCTTATCTGAAGAACAATAACACAATAATAAATATAGAGAGTCCAAATTAAATTCACTCACTTCTTATGTGCTGTACAGAAATAAAAACAAAAAAAGAAAAATTCTATATTTGAAATTTGTTAGGTCTGTCTGAACTTTTCTAATTTTTCATGAACTTTTTGTTAAGTGCATTCGCTTTTTATGAGCGAAATATTGCTGTCTTGTGCATAAACTTGTTATATACGGAGCTCAAATTTTCGACGTTCTCTAGACTAGCGTCTAATGATGAAGATCGTACCACAGTTTTAATTTCCATAACGAAATTATTTCACAAATTGTAATAAGTAATTTGAATCATTCACACCCTTAGAAGCTTGAGACACAATGCTCAATTTGTATATTATTTATATTAATTTGTCATGGGGAGCTTGAATTCAAACTTACAAAAATTTTATCTAGCTTTTCTCCGATATCTCTCATTCTAGAACATCCACCACCGCCTCTAAAATGGGAGTAATCTGTAATTGATCAGGAATATTTCGTTCGAACTTAATCATCGAAGGGAATCCATCGCGTTAGTCATTCGAATCAGCAAAAAATAAATAAATAAAATGTTCGAAACGTTGCTGCTGAATCAGAAATCAGCACATTTTGCTTATCATTCAAACGGAAAGCGGTAGTTCGTTCAAATTTTGTATCACTTATGCAGGGTTATTCATAATTCCCTCCGGGGTTTCGAAGCGTTATAGTAAAAAAACGAAGACGAATATGACAAAAAAGAACATATGAAATTATTTCGAAAGTATTCGAGTTTTAATTTAAGCAGTTGCCGGTAGATGGCAGTAACATGTACCACTGAAGCCAGTTGTAGTAAAGAAAAATGGCGTCTACAGGCGGAAGGAATTATGAATAACCCTGTCTATGCCTTTTAAACTATTAGAACCATGTGTTTTAGATTGTTGCTACTGCCATATTTTGAGGGTCGTAAATTCGAAACCATCGATAAATGGTTTGTTAATACAGAAGAAAAATGCTTTAATATCTGATTTCGTACCTCAATATTTCTTCGAAACGTTAGAATATTTAAGGTCTACATTTCGCACCATTAGGATTGCATGTTATTNATAAAACCTGCTGCCATTGACATGGCACGTATCATGTGCGGAGATGAAAGTTCAAAGAAATTACAAAAGATACCATTATCAAATGATACAATTCGTTTACGAATTAATGATATGTCATTTGATATTAAGAATCAACTTATTTCTGCTATAAAAATTGCTGGTTTATTTAGTATTCAACTGGATGAAACGACAGATGTAAGTAAAGATGCTCAACTCATGGTTTACGTGCGGAATCCAGGTTTAACAGATATACAGGAGGACATTTTATTTTGCAAACCAATGTCAAAGGTGAAGATATTTTTCTTATGGTCGATTCGTTTTTTAAAGAAGAAGGATTAAATTGGAATCAGTGTTTCAGTATTTGCACCGACGGTGCAGCTGCCATGACGGCATCTCATAAGGGATTTTCGACAAGAGCAAAACAAATGAATCCACAAATTATATCGATTCATTGTTTGTTACATAGACAAAATCTTGCTTCAAAAAAATTATCACCTGAATTATGTATCGTTTTGGATGAAATTGTTGCGGTAGTCAATTTTATCAAATCAAGAGCTCTTAACTGTAGAATTTTCCGCGAACTGTGTTTCAAATCTGGTGCAGAATACGAACATTTATTATATTATTCTGAAGTTAGATGGCTGTCCCGGGGCAAAGTTGTTCAAAGAGTATTATCGTTACGGACAGAAGTCGAATTATTTTTGAGAGAAAAGAAACACCCATTAGCATCTAAATTCTCCGAGATGAAGTGGATTACTCAAGTTGCTTATTTGTCAGATATTTTATTTGAAATAAATAATCTAAATACGTCTATGCAAGGACGTAATCATACTATTATTGAATTAACTTAAAAAATTACTTGTTTTAAAAATAAACTCAAATTATGGAGAAATAAGGTTGAAGTAAAGAAACTTTGCTTCATTCCCGACTCTTAATTTACTTGTTGAAGACAATAATATTGATATCACAGATTTTGAAATACAGAAAATTATTATTACTCATTTAGAAAAACTAATAGCAGACTTTGATCGATATTTCCCTGCTAGACGATGTTTTCAAATATAATTGGGTTCGAATGCCATTTGATTTTGATGTAAAGTGATTTGCATGAGAAATTTGTTAATATTAACCAATTTCAAGAACAATTAATAGAAATACAAAGTGACCAAGCACTTCGATACAATTTCTACAAAAACACTGAATCTTTATGTGCTTTCTGGTTGAAATTAAAAACCGAAAAGCCAATAATTGTTAAAGAAGCCCTAAAAGTATTACTATTGCCCTTTTCAACAACATATATGTGTGAGGCTGGCGTAATCAAAAACAATTACCGGAACTAGTTAAATCCTGAAATAGATATAAGGTGCTCCTTGACAAGCATTCAACCGAGGTTTGAAGATCTTTCAAAATGTATTCAAGCACAAGGTTCTCATTAAAACTGTATGACTTGCATTTAAAATTTAAAAGACTTCACATATGTATTGATATTTCTTTTTTTTTTTTAGGAATAAGTTAAAATCTCAATTATTTTCAAAAAGTTATAAATATATTTTAATTTGATCAATAAAAATTATTAAAAACACTTGATTATTAATTAAATTTTTCTTGGATAGAAAAGTACTTTTGTTTATCTTTATTATTAAAAAAATAAATAAAAAATTTTTAAGTTAAAAAAAATCATCATCGTAGGATTGAAGATTTTTTAAAAATACGATCTAAAATAAAGCAATGAAAAAATTTTGACTTTTTTTTTGGGTCGCAGCTTAAAAAGGTTAAGAACCACTGCCTTAAACTATTAGAACCATGTGTTTTAGATTGTTGCTACTGCCATATTTTGAGGGTCGTAAATTCGAAACCATCGATAAATGGTTTGTTAATACAGAAGAAAAATGCTTTAATATCTGATTTCGTACCTCAACATTTCTTCGAAACTTTAGAATATTTAAGGTCTACATTTCGCACCATTAGGATTGCATGTTATTTCCTGAAGAATTCGATCATTAGTTCAAAAATTATTAAAATGTTTCGTCTCTATTTTTATATAAATAATTTCATAAAGTAACTGCGTGTAATTACTTTCCTTTAGTCATATCATGAATGAACATGGGGTAATTTATAAACTCAATTTTAAACGTTTAAAATAGTACAATAATCGCTTATAAAATAGGAGATCAACTTATCTTTTCAAGCATTTAAATAATACGGATTTTAATCGATAATATGTTTTTGATAGTTTTAAGTAGTTTTGTGAAAAGGATTTAAGGTATATTTGAGGAATTTAGCCTTTGAGGAATCTACATTAAATATCTATATATTTCATGTAGATTGAATGTATTCAATATATTTCACTTAACCAAGATTAATGAGAATATTACATATTTTATAATTATGAGAATTTTACCTAAGGCATTAACATAAAACTTTCAAAATTTTAAATAATAATTTCAAACATTTAACTCAAGAAATAAATGAAATTTTTGAAAAAATATTTAATTGGAATTAGAGTAATTTTTAATTCATCGTTTGAAATTTATGCCTTATTGTAATTGTCTTTCTCTGAATTAGTATCAATTACCCAACTTTTTTAAACCATGAAAAATGAAATTGAAAATTTTCAATTTTGAAATGAAATGAAACTTACGAAAATAATTCAAATCAAAGCGTTACCTAATTAAATGTTTAGCAGGAGTGATATTTTTCACGAAGGAAGTTAATTTGCGTGCAAGATTGCTTTGCCGTAACGCTGCAATTTTTACTTAAGAAGAATTATATTTGTTTTTTTAGTAAAAAACTTCTCCGTTGATGAGGATAGAGCGATGATTAAAAACAGAAGGTGATAAAATGTGTCATGGCAAATAAAAATGTTATTTTTCTCTATTTTTAGAATATTTAAATAAATCTAATTCAAAAACATGCCTAAGACGATATTCATTAGACGGAAGGAATTTTTTTTTTTACCTTGAAATCATGTTAGGATCAAGTTTAATACCTCACATCAAATTTAACACGGGTTGAAATCAAAATCCATACATGCTATGTTATGAATTTTATCCTTCTGTATTAAAAAATCGCAAATGCCGGCGCTGCTGTTCTGATTGTTCAACTTAACGTTGCATTTTGTTTCGCTGTGCAAAATCTATAAGACTTAGACACTTAAAATTACGATGGATTGTAGAAAAATGAACAGGGAATACGATGAAATAAA